CAGACCGCCGAGAAAGCCGCGCCGCGAGGTCCCGCGCGGCGCCGGTTCGCGGTGATGCCTTGCCGACGCTGGCGGCGTGGTGTCCGTCATGCCTGTCCTCCTCCGTTAGCCCGGCCGCCGATGATCCATCCCCGATCATTTGGCCCCATGCGCCGGCCGCAGGGCTCGACGCCGACATATTCGCAGACTGCATAACAAACGGATGGTTAACGGGGGAATAAGGAAATGGCCGGCGAGTCAGGGCAATTTTCGGGCAGGCGGCGCCGGAGCCAGCGCGACCGCGGCCATGACCAGCGCCACCGCCAGGGCCTCGGGCGCGCCCAGCGGCTCGCCCAGGGCCAGCCAGCCGATCAGCACCATGGTCGGCAGCTCCAGCGCGCCCAGGGTGGCGACCCGCGTCTCCGGCAGGCGCGTGGCCATGGTGCTGTAGAGCGCCTGCGGCAGGGCGGCGGTGATCAGGGCCATGCCGGCGATCCACAGCCAATCGCTCGGCGCCGCCGGGACCAGACCGCCGGGGTCGGCGGCCAGCGCCAGCGGCAGCAGCCCCAGCACGGTGCCGGTCAGGCTGGCCGCCAGCTTCTCCAGCGGGCGCAGGCCGGCCGAGCGGCGCACCAGAACCAGGATCATCACCGCGAAGGCCAGCGGCGCTGGCAGGCAGAGCAGCAGCGCCGGGCCCAGGCTGCCCAGGCTGCCGCCCGCGCCCAGCAGCAGCGCGCCGGCGCCGGCCATCACCAGAGCGCCGGCGGCCAGGGCGCGGCGCTGCAGCGGCTGGCGCAGCCACAGCCAGGCCAGCAGCGCGACGAACAGCGGATAGGACATGTAGACCAGCCCGGCCCAGGCCACCGGCACCAGGTCCAGGCCGCGCAGGTAGGCCGACCAGGCCAGCCCCATGGCCAGGCCGCAGGCGGCCAGGGCCAGCGCCGGCCGCCGCTTGGCGGGGCTGCGCAGCAGGCCGGGCAGCAGCGGCAGGCCGAGCAGCAGGCCGAGGGCGAAGCGATAGAGCGCGATCGCCTCGGGCGACAGGCCGGCGGCCAAGAGGTGGCGCGCGAACAGCGGCACCAGCCCGAAGCCGATCACCGCGACCACCAGCCAGAGGCTGGCGCTGTCGCGCGGGATCGGGCGCAGCCGGGGCGGCCGGATCAGGATGCGGGTCGGGGCGAGGGCCATGAGCAGGGCGATAGCATTGGCCCGCGCTACGCATCCAATTCATAATATGCCGGAAACAGATGAAGGAAATCGATATATGCCCGACCTGCCGCGGCTCGACATTCGCCATCATGGCCTGCTGCTCGCGCTGGACGAGAGCGGCGGCCTGCAGGCGGCCGCCGACCGCCTGGGCATCACCCAGTCGGCCGCCAGCCACCGCCTGCGCGAGGCGGAGCGGCGGCTGGGCCTGGCGCTGGTGCGGCGCGTCGGGCGGCGGGTGCAGCTCACCCCGGCGGGCGAACGGCTGCTCGCCGCCGCGCGCCTGGCGGTGGGCGAGCTGGCCCGGGCCGAGCGCGAGCTGGTCGAGCGCTTCGGCCAGGGGCGGCCGCTGGTCCGCCTCGGCCAGGCGCCCTACAGCCGCTACCACTGGCTGCCGGCCTTCCTGGAGTTCCTGGGCGCGCGTCACCCGACGATCGAGCTCGACCTGGTGGCCCGCGCCGCCACCGATCCGCTGGGCTGCCTGCGCGACGGCACGGCCGACGTGGTGATGCTCTACGGCCGCCAGGGCCAGGGCGGCGACCTGGTCTGGCTGCGCCTGGGCGGCGATCCGCTGGTCGCCGTGATGGCGCCGGGTCACCGCCTGGCCGCCAAGGCGGAGGTGACGGCCGCGGACCTGGCCGGCGAGCGCTACATCACCTACTCCAACCGGCCGGAGCCGGGCTTCGAGTGGGAATCGGTGCTGCGCCCGGCCGGGGTGGCGCCGCAGCGCGTCTCCGTCGTCGGCCTGCCCGAGGCGATCATCGACCTGGTGCGCGCCGGGGTGGGCGTCAGTTCCCTGTCGCGCTGGGCCGTCTCGCCGGAGCTGGCCGACGGCACCCTGGTGGCGCGCCCGCTGCGCCGGCCGGGCGCGCGCGCGCCGGGGCTCAGCCTCGACTGGTGGGTGGTCTATCGCCAGGCCGACGCCGGCCGCCCGGCGGAACAGGTGGCACAGGCGCTGCAGGCCTCCAGCCGGCTGCACGGCGTCGGCCTGGACGTGCAGAGCTTCGGCGAGCCGGCGGTCTGACGTCGGTGCCGCAGGCGCGCGCCGCGCGGTTGGGTCACTCCTCGGCCAGCGCGACCATCACCTCGTTGCGGCGCAGGAAGCCCGGCGTGAAGGGGTCGTTGTAGTAGGCGTAGGTGACCGGCCCGGCGGGCGTCAGGCCCGCCGCCTCAAGGCGGCGGCGCAGCTCCGCCGCCTTGTCCGCCATCAGGGCGTCGCGCCAGCGCCCGGAAAAGCGCAGGGCGGCGACCCGGCGCGGCGGCAGCTCGCGCAGCCGCACCGCCTCGTCGCCCGGCGCCGGCAGCTCCGCCAGGCTGTAGCGCGCCGGCATGATGAAGTGGACCCGCCACAGGCCCGGTTCGCCCGGCGCCGGCGCTTGCGTCACCGGCGCGGTCATGGCGATCGTCTCGTCGCCGCCAGGCGCGGTGTCGGGCCGCTGGGTGACGGGGGCCGTCATGGCGATCGTCTCGCCGGCGCGGTCCTTGGCGAAGATGTAGTCGGCCAGGCGGCGGAAGCCGGCGCGCACCGCCGTTTCGCGGGTGCCGCGGGTGGTCGCCTCGGCCACCACCAGGGCCGGATAGCGGCGGATTTCGAAAGTCCCGTCCTTGGAAAGTACCTGGTAGTCCGGCTGCTCGACGTTGCTGGCCAGCCAATACCAGACAGCCGCCGCGACCAGGGCGAGGCCCAGCAGCCCGCCGAAGACGATCAGGACCCACTTCACGCCGGGGACTCCCCTTCACACCGGTTGCGGTTCGGGCCGCGTGGCCCTGGCGGTGACCCCTAACACAGTAGGTCGAGACGGCGTTTCGCCCAGGGTTGGGGGGTCGAACGGGGGTGGGGCTCGGAGGGGCTGGGCCTCGGAGGGGGCTGGGGCTCGGAGGGGGCCGGCCGCCTCAGCGGGTCAGCGGCAGGAGGAGGTCCGGCAGGTCGGTGATCAGGCTGTCGACGCCCCACTCCAGCAGGCGCTGCGCCTCCTCCGGGTCGTTCACCGTGTAGACCGCCAGGCGATAGCCCTCCGCCTGGACCGCGCGCACCTGGGCGTGGGTCAGCTCCGTGCGCCAAAGGTGGATCGAGGCGCAGCCGAGCGCCGCCGCCTCGGCCCGCCAGTCGTCGGGCAGCGTCTCCCAGAGCCGCCCCCGCGCAAGCTGGGGCGCTAGGTCGCGCGCCACCTCCAGACAGTCGCGGGTGAAGGAGGAGATCAGCGGCGCCGGCCGGTTCTCGGGCCAGATGCGGGTCAGCAGGTCGAGCGCGACCTCGGCCGTCTCGACCGCGCGTCCCGGCGTCGGCTTGAGCTCCAGGTTGAGCCCCAGGTCGTGGGCCTGCAGGGCTTCGACCGCCTGTTCCAGGGTGGGAACGACCTCGCCGCTCCAGGCGGCGTCGTACCAGCGCCCGGCATCGAGCTGGGCCACCGCCGTTGCGGAGACCCGGGCGACGTCGTGCGGATACGCGCAGGTGCGCGCGAAGTTGTAGTCGTGGTGCAGGATCGGCACCGCGTCGGCGGTCAGCATCACGTCGATCTCGACCCAGCGCGCGCCCAGCTCGGCGGCGCGGTGCAGGCCGCCCAGGGTGTTCTCGGGCGCCCGTCCCGCCGCACCGCGGTGGCCGATCACCCGCGGCAGGTCCAGCGCCGGCGCCCCCTGCTCGGTGCTCATCGCGGGCCCTTCGCCTGCGGGCTTGCCGCCGGCCCGTCCAGCGGCGCGACCGTGCAGCCGGCCTCGTAGATCGGCCGGGTCAGGGTGCTCAGCCGGGTGCGCTGCCGGCCCGCGGCGTCGAAGTTGGCCGGGTCGAGCCAGCGGGTCAGCGCGGCGTCGAGCTGCGGCCAGAGTCGATCGGTGATGGCGAACCAGGCGGTGTCGCGGTTGCGGCCCTTGTAGCTGGTGGCCTGCTTGAACACCCCCTCGAAGCCGAGGCCCAGACGCCGCGCGGCGCGGCGCGAGGCGGCGTTGAGGGCGTCGCACTTCCACTCGTAGCGACGGTAGCCCAGGGCGAAGGCGTGGCGCAGCAGCAGCGCCATGGCCTCGGTCGCCAGCGGCGTGCCGGCCAGGGCCGGCGAGAAGCAGATGTGGCCCACCTCCAGACTGCCGTTCGCCGGGTCGATGCGCAGATAGGCGGCGACGCCCAGTGGCCGGCCGGAGCCGGCGTCGAGGATGGCGTAGAACAGCGGGTCCTCCTGGCCCGCGACCTGGGCGACCCAGGCCCGGTAGGCCGCCGCCGTGGCGAAGGGCCCGTAGCCCATATAGGTCCACAGCCGCCCCTCGCGGTCGGCGGCGTTGGCCGCGTGCAGGGCTGCGGCGTGGGCCTCGGACAGCGGCTCCAGGCGGACCAGCCGGCCCTCCAGCGTCTCGCCGGACGGGCGCGGCGGCGGCGTCCAGTCGGGCAGCGGCCAGCCGATTGGCTGGCCGAGGGCGTTGGTGGTCACGTCCGGCATGGGCTCCAGGCTCGAGCAAGGCGGGAGGGGGGCCCGTGAGGGGGGCGGCTTGGCGGCTCAGGGTAACCCGCCGTGGCCGGTGTCGGGCAAGGGGCTTGCGGCCTCAGGTGGCCTCAGGCGGCCGACGGCGGGGGCGGCTGGGTCGGCGGCTGGGTCGGCGGCGCGGCCTGCCCGGCCACCCGCCAGGCCGGCAGGCGCACGCGCACGCAGGTGCCGCCGGGCTTGCGGCTGTCGATCTCCAGCCGGCCGCCGTGCAGCTCGACCAGCCCCTTGCTGAGCGGCAGGCCCAGGCCGGTGCCCTGGAACTTGCGCGACAGGGAGCTGTCGACCTGGCCGAAGGGGGTCAGGGCGACCCGGATCTCCTCGCCGGTCATGCCGATGCCGCTGTCGTCCACGCAGAGCTGGAAGTCGCCGCCGGCGCCCACGGTGGCCGCCAGCCGGACCCGGCCGCCGCGCTCGGTGAACTTGACGGCATTGCTCAGCAGGTTGAGCAGCACCTGCTTGATGGCGCGCGCGTCGAGGGTGACCTCGGGCAGCGCCTCGGCCACCTCCAGCTCCAGCGCGATGCCGTTCTCGGCCGCGCGCGGGCGCACCAGCCGGGCGGTCGAGTGGATCAGCCCGGCCAGGTCGGTCTCCTCCTCGTCGAGCTGCAGCTTGCCGGCCTCGATCTTGGAGACATCGAGNNATGTCGTTGATCAGCTCCAGCAGGTGCGCGGCGCTGTCGTGGATGTCGCGGGCGTACTCGGCGTAGATCGACTTGCCCATCGGCCCGAAGGCCTCGGTCATCATCACCTCGGAGAAGCCGATCACCGCGTTCAGCGGCGTGCGCAGCTCGT